ACGTGTGCCGTATACTTTGCAAAGGTTTTTGGTACAAGCATAACTGCTTGAGCAGTGATACAGACACTGAATACTCTTGCGGGTAAATCTGAATGTCAGCATGTATCTGTCTACGTCACGGTCTGCTTAGATGCCGTTCATTTCAGATTCACAGCTCCTTGCAAATACACATGCGGTGCGCACGGGCATGCTTACAACATTGGCAATGAGCGTCAAAAAGAGCAAACAAAGGTGCAAACATGTGAGTGTTTCTTGTACGTGTAAGCATGCGGAGACACATGCACGCACAAATGCAAGGAAGTATGCATAATATGTACACGTGTGCATACATGCAACTGCAAGTATGACACTGATTTTTGATGAATCTTGTTTAGTCATACACGTGCTTGCTTGTGTGTAGACATATCTTACCACTCTATCCCGTCGCCGTATTCCATTTCATTTCCTTTCATTGCAGTTTGTACTATTCAAACGCTTCCAGGTTCTACTTCGCAAGAGCTTAGTCCCGATGCACGGCGCATGTATTCCAAATTGGATGCAGATGGTGATTTAGAAGGCAGTGGCTCTGGGGGTGCCATGGTCAGCAGTTGGGGCCGTTGGGCTCTTTTGAGAGGCCCCAGTATTGAAAGGACTAGTTATGTTTTCATGTCATCACTGTGTTCTAATGCATGTGCAGACCTTTGCATTTTTTCCGCAAGATGTTCTCAAATTCGTCACAGTTTGTCAGCTTGAGAAATGCTTCCTCCCATCAAACATCATGTGGCCTGCATGGCTAGTTTGTTGCGAGGCTGGCTGCGGAAATCCTTGGCAGCTCAGCAGGTTGCAGTGAATGAGGCACTGTTTTGTTTGGACTTCAGAATGTCACATCGGGGAACGCGAGCAGAATCTCCTGGAAACACTTTGAAACATATCAAACACTAAGTTTTTCCGCATGACTGGGTTTCGAAGATTCTAAGAAATGGCATCCACGACCAAATAAGACAGTGGCTGAAAGATGAAGAATCTTGATTTGCCAGGCCCTCACGAAGCATCAGAATCAGATGCTGCAGCAGCTGCTGGGCACGATGGACAGCATGAATGTCGGCAGATGTGATTCGTTGTGGGATATCCTGTGTTTCTCCCATAGGGGGCTGACAAGATTGCAAGATTCAACCAAATCTCTTTGCTTTTGTAAGACTGCGGGAATCCAATTGGATCTGTTAGGGGAATCCAAACTATAGTACCTATAGACATCTATAGTCGAAGGAAGTTTAGAAGTCAAACGTCCGACTTATGGACAGATGCAGCAACAGCGGTGAGAGCAGGCAGAGGAGAAAGAGTCAGTCAGAAGAGAAAGAGTCAGAAGAGAAAGAGTCAGAAGAGATTGAGTCAGAAGATAGAACATCAATGTCAATGTGCGCGAAAAGCTATAAACAGTTTCGAAAAGTAGGCTCGCTAAAGTGGTGGGTGCGGAGACTTTTGGTCAGATGAGAGATGAATGATTGCACGCCGCTGTGGCGCGAAGCACATTTTGAAGCAAAAATGCTGAAGTTCGGAGCAGTTTTTGGAAGTTGGGATGTCCAAAAAAGTGCATGCCGTTGTTGCGAGAAGATGCGAGAAGCACATTTTCAAGTCAAAATGTTAAAACACCTGATGTTCGGAGCATTTTTGGCAGTTGAGATGTTTAAAAAAGTGCACGCTGTTGTGGCGCGACGCACATTTCTAAGCCAAAATGTTTAAAAACACCTCAGCTTCGGAACACTTTTGGAAGTTGAGATATCCAAAACGTGCATGCTGTTGTGGCGCGAAGCAAATTTCGAAGTCAACGTGTTCAAAGCGCGCCACATTCGGACCAGTTTTGGACGTTGAGCTGTCGAAAAGTAGGTAGATAGACAGGTAGATAAATAGGTAGATCGATAGGTAGATTGATAGGTAGATAGGTAGATAGATTCGATAGATGGATGGGTGGATGGATGGATGGATGGATGGACAGATAGATAGATAGATTGATTGATAGATTAGATAGATAGATAGATAGGTGGATAGGTGGATAGGTGGATAGGTGGATAGATAGATAGATGGATAGGTGGATAGGTGGATAGGTGGATAGGTGGATAGGTGGGATAATAGGATAGATGGATAGGTTGGATAGGTGGATAGGGTGGATAGGGGATAGGTGGGATAGGTGGATAGGGGGATAAGGTGGGATAGGGGATAGGTGGGAAAGTGGGATAGGTGGATAGATGGATAGGTGGATCGGTGGAAGAGGTGGATAGGTGGATAGATAGATAGATGGATAGGTGGATAGGTGGATAGGTGGATAGGTGGATAGATAGATAGATGGATAGGTGGATAGGTGGATAGGTGGATAGGTGGATAGGTGGATAGATGGATAGGTGGATAGGTGGATAGGTGGATAGGTGGATACGTGGATAGGTGGATAGATAGATAGATGGATAGGTGGATAGGTGGATAGGTGGATAGGTGGATGGATAGATAGATGGATAGGTGGATAGGTGGATAGGTGGATAGGTGGATAGGTGGATAGATGGATAGGTGGATAGGTGGATAGGTGGATAGGTGGATAGGTGGATAGATGGATAGGTGGATAGGTGGATAGGTGGATAGGTGGATAGGTGGATAGGTGGATAGATAGATAGATGGATAGGTGGATAGGTGGATAGGTGGATAGGTGGATGGATAGATAGATGGATAGGTGGATAGGTGGATAGGTGGATAGGTGGATAGGTGGATAGATGGATAGATGGATAGGTGGATAGGTGGATAGGTGGATAGGTGGATAGGTGGATAGGTGGATAGGTGGATAGGTGGATAGGTGGATAGGTGGATAGGTGGATAGGTGGATAGGTGGATAGGTGGATAGGTGGATAGGTGGATAGGTGGATAGGTGGATAGGTGGATAGGTGGATAGGTGGATAGATGGATAGGTGGATAGATGGATAAATTTTTCATATTTTTTCTGCACCTTGGCCCTGGCGCAGGACGGCAAAGTCAGCCCCAGCTCTGTGACGGTGTCGAGCACGAAGGACCTCCAGCATTTTGCGGATCCACCTGCACCAAGGTCCTGGGAATGCCACTGGACGTCGAGGGCACCGGGCACGGATGGGGGCCAACATAGCTACATGGGCCATTGGGGGATCCTGAAAAGTCTGAAAAGGACTTTGGGGAAACACATGCAAAAATGGGATTCAATGGGACTCAATGGGTGCCTTTCTAAGATGGTCGCAGTCAGGAGCTTGGTACTTTCACCTTGTTAACCACGCAAACCCTGCATGTGAGGCAAACCCAAGGTCCTACATCCAGCAACTTGGACAAATTAATCTCATGATTTTGCATGGTACATGGCATATGTTCAGTATTTCTTGATCAGACACATGGGTGCTTTGACGGTGATGTGGTTGTGGAGCTGTTGCGCAGGTCGAGCCGTATCCTCCTCCGTTGCCGACCATGCCTCCATTGCCAAATCAGCTAACTGACCAAGAGCGCACCTTGGCTGTCACAAAACATTTTGCGAGGAAAGAGCTTGATGATTGATGCACCATGCATCAGCAGGTTGGGTTGGTCCTTGAAGCAGGGGACAACATTGGGGCATGATATCATGGTATTGCATGGATCATGAGTTTGGCTTCATGTGACGGAATAGTATGGAAGAATTTGGAAGAATTGTATTCGAAATGCCCAATGCTACTATAACGTGGACAGCCAGGAAAAAACACTCACCTGCGATACCTTCACATTGTATTTGTCATCATACCCCTGAACAGCATTATCAAGAGATATCAAGAGCTAGTCCTAGTGCTAGTGTGCCTGTGTCCTGATCCACCCCAGATGGTTCCCAAAGGACATGGTGAAATTGGCGATTTGAGGGCGCACTGTTGGCTAGATCATTCATGTCAAATCATGCGACGCCTAAAAAGAACTAGTCGCTTCCACGCATACTCATACCAGTAGTACCGCACAAGGCGGTGGCGGAAGTTTCAGAATAGGAAACCTATAGGAGACGTTGGTTGTTGTGAATCACGGATGGCAGAGCGAATCCACTGATTGACCGAAAGGTGGTTGGAGTTGTGTTTGCTGGAATGGTTGCAATGGTTGCAGTGGTCACCTCACCCACAACTGCTGGATGTAGTGTGATGTACTGCAACTGTAGTTGTAGTTGTAGCGTAGTGGAGTTGTAGTTGTGGTGTAATGTAATTAGTGTAGTGTAGTTGCAGTCATATAGTTGTAGCTGTAGTTGTTTTGTAGTTGTAGTTGTAGTTGTTGTAGTTGTAGCTGTAGTTGTTGTGTGGTTGTAGTTGTGTTGTAGTGAGGTGTAGGTGTAGGTGTAAGTTGTAGTTGTAGTTGTAGTTGTAGGTAGGAGTAGTAGTGTTGTTGTTGTAGTTGTAGTTGTTGTTGTTGTTGTTGTTTTTGTTGTTGTTGTCGATGTTGTTGTTGTTGTTGTTGTTGTTGTTGTTGTCGTTGTTGTTGTTGTTGCTGTTGTTGTTGTTGCTGCTGTTGTTGTTGTCGTCGTTGTTGTTGTTGTTGCTGTTGTTGTTGTTGTTGTTGGTGTTGGTGTTGGTGTTGGTGGTGGTGGTGGTGGTGGTGTTGGTGTTGGTGTTGGTGTTGGTCTTGTTGGTCTTGTTGCTGTTGCTGTTGCTGTTGTCGTCGAAGTTAGGATAGTTAAGTTAGTGAAGTTAGTTAAGTTAGTCAAGTTAGTTAAGTTAATCAGTGTCTACTTTTTCGACATCTTAACGTCAAAAAAGGCTCAAAACCCTCAGTTTTTTACACTTTTGACTTCGAAATGTGCTTCGCGCCACAACGGCGTGCACTTTTTCCACATCCGAACCTCCAAAAGTGGCGCGAACATGTGGTGTTTTGTACATTTTGACTTGGAAATGTGCTTCACGCCACAACGGCGTGCACTTTTTCGACATCGCAACTTCCAAAAGTGGTCCGAGAATGGTGTGTTTTGTACATTTTGACTTGGAAATGTGCTTCGCGCCACAACGGCGTGCACTTTTTCGACATCTCAACTTCCAAAAGTGGTCCGAGAATGGTGTGTTTTGTACATTTTGACTTGGAAATGTGCTTCGCGCCACAACGGCGTGCACTTTTTCGACATCTCAACTTCCAAAAGTGGTCCGAGACCGCCAGTTTTGAACACTTTTGACTTCGAAATGTGCTTCGCGCCACAACGGCGTGCAATTTTTCATCTCTCATCTGGCCAGCTGGCTCCGCACCCGCCGCTTTAGCGAGCCTACTTTTCGACCCCCCGGAGCCACAAATCATTGGAAAAACACAGTGTTTCGCGACTTTCCTACCTTTTCGCGCATCTGCATCTTCTTTCTTCTTACTCTTTCTCTTCTGATCTTCTCTCTACTAATCTTCCTCTTCTCTCTGCCTCTGCCCTGCTCTGCTTTTCATCTGTCCATATTGTCGGAAGTTTGACTTCTAAACTTCCTTCGACAAAGGGAGCGCAAGTGCAGCAAAAGTGCCGAATGAAATGGTCGATCTCCTCATTCATGGTTCCCGCAGCTTCTCCATCCTATTCTAGCCAAAGCTATAAGCTCCAGCAGATTCCAACATTCAATCAAGAGACTCTCAAGAGACCATCAAAGCATGATCTCGGCGCACGGCATGTGAGGCTTGCCATCACCTTTGCCATCACCTGTGAATGCGGCAGCTTGGCAACAGTAGCTTGTGGCCATCTGTTGGGGGCAATGAGTAGCTATGCGCATGCTATGCGCTTGTCGTAGCCCCAACACACGAGCCGCAATTCCAGTCCGGGAAGAGACTGCAGTCGCCAACCTCGTATTGTATGTGTCTTTTTTAGTGTGCTCATCCGAATGGCAACTGGTGTAGGACTTTGTCCCTGCCTTGTTTTTTCGCAGATTTTCAGTCGTAGATTCGCTTGCAGAGGCCCAGCGCAAGGATGGTTTCCAGCACTTGAAGAAGATGGATAACGAAGATTTGGAGAAAGATAGGAGCGCAGCTGGAGCATTGAGATGCATATCGGTTGTTTGTTGGAGGCATGCTGCAGGAACTTGATGGTTTAATCACCCGAGATTCCCCTAGATGCCTAAAATACATCAAAATCATCATCAAGCAGCCATCACTATCACACTTCATCGCCAGGAAGACGCCAGGAGAGCTGGAGCTGCCAGACATGACATCAGTTCCTTTGGAGACTTCGGTTCAACGGCGCTCAGTAACCATTTTCCAAGATCTTTTATATGTGATGTGATATGATGCAATTAGTTGCAGCTCATTTTGAAGTGCAACTCTTCACGGAGCACACAAATCATACGCACATTTTTTTTCTTTTCTGTTCCTTTCCTTTTCTTTCCTTTTCTTTCATTTCTTTCTTTTCTTTCTTTTCGTTCAGTTCTTTCTATTTTTTTTGCTTTCTTTTTTTCTTTCTTTTCGTTATTTCGTTATTTCGTTTCTTTCTTTCTTTCTGTCTTTCTGTCTCTCTCTCTCTCTCTCTACGCATCCATAAGCACACAAACACGCGTATACACTCATGTATGGCCCATGGCCATGTATGCATGCATGTTTTTGTATTATCCAACATTATCTAACCTTTTGACTTTCATTGCCGGCTTCCCATGATTCTGGTTGGCTCATTGCAAGCTCCGGACCGATACTCTCAATGGTGTGCAACCCCGAGGGAATGGTGTGTCGTCGTTGGTAGGTTATCATCATGCTGCTGCTGCTGCTGCCGCTGCTGCTGTTGGTGCTGCTGAACACAACTATTTGGTCTTGATTGCTATGATGACATGACAGTAAGGATTTCGATGCTGATAAGGACAATCAGAGAATAATATCACAACTGGCATGTGGCTGGGGCTGACATCTGGGGTGACCATAGGGCTTAGGTCTTGACCGTTCATCAGCCGTGTGCCTGAGGAGCGGAACATCACCGTGGAGTCAGGAGCCTTTGGTGCTGGGCTAGCTTCACGGCGCGCTAGTGCCAGTGCGACAACGGGTGCTAGCAGCTGGGCCTTGGCAAATCGGGATGCTGTTCAAATGGGGAACGGATGGGAACGGTCAGAACTGGTAAGAGCTGTTGCTGTTTTTAGTTACTTTAGTTGCCTTTGCAATTGACCATGTATGATCATGTATGATCATGTATGCATGTTTGGCTTTGATATGCTTTGATCATCTTTGATCCTTGTCGGTCCTTTTTGATCCTTTTCGCCATTAACCTCAGATGGTGACAGCAAGGCGCTGCTGAGGTAAGAGAGAAACGACGCTCGCATTTCGCAAAGCTGAAGATTTGCTGGACCAATTGAAGATGCCATTTTGGCATCCAGGCAGGGAACATGCAAGGTGCAAGGGATCGTTGACTGTCAACTGTTTGTTAGGTCGTTGGAGCGTTCGGAATTTCCAGGTATTCAGAAACATGACTCACATGACACATATTTTGTTTTTCATCATTTTTTGATTGCAGGACGTGTGGTGCGAACAACGCAGTTCGACGCATTCATTTGCGCTGTCATCATGCTGAATACTTTAGTGACTCTTTGTTTCCAAGAGGGGCGGCGCTGGTCCCGATTGTTTTCTGGCCACGATATCCAGGCATCCATTACTGCTTACGCATGTAGTGCATTTGCGTGTGCCCAAGGATGGCGTTTGAATCACAGTACCTGGGACTTCAGCGAGGATACGACCTTGGTTTCGAAGGCTTTACATTACCAGCGAGCTGCTTGGCTGCTCCGAGAGATGCATCAAGAATGATCAGAATCTGAACTCATCTGAGTCAAAATTATGAAAAAAACCAAAGGCAAGCGGATATTGTCTGATCGATTGTGATAGGTGCTGATAGAAACATGGGATGAGGAGCTGCGCGGCTTCAGGTGAGGAATGGCCATATGCTGACCTGGGCTTTTATATGGTTGCCAGACCCTCAGGCATTTCCTTGCCCTTTTCCCAAAAAGTGCGATGCAATACGTCAAGTCTGAGCTAAAACGAGGTGAACAATGATAAACACATTCAGCATGCATACCTGATGTGCTGCCAGCCAAGCCAAGGACTATGTTTTTGGGGTCATTTACCTCATCGAGATTTGCATCAAGATCTGTGGTCTCAAATGCAGTTTCTTCAAGGACAGGCTAGCAAAGGCATGTTGATCCACGCAGCTACCATGGGGAGGAAGACCCAAAAAAGCCGTCCGTTCAATCCGTTCCGGCAGATCAGGAGTTTTCAGAGCCATTTAAAGAGTTCTGCATTTGGAAGGACCCCTGGAATTATTTTGATAGCTCCTTGGTACTCTTCTGGATTATCGAGAAGGCCCTGAGCGCCTACGCAGTTTTGGACCAAGGTCTGTTAAGATGCTTGGCACAACTTCAACAATTTAAGGGGCGTTGTGGGTATATCATGGTCTAGCACGAAAAGGCACCGCACACTCTCCGACTTTCTTTCTTATATCTACATCTAAATACTTAGGCCTATGCCAAAAGATCCGGCTTCCTTGAAATGCACCTTTCTGTCTAGCATGTGAAAACTACTCATGGCACAAAAAAACAACATGGGATTTGACTGAGACAAGTAGGATAAGTAGGGCCAGACACAAAAGAATGCCTGCACCCAGAATTCAAGTCGCTAGCTGTTTCTCTATGTTCCCTTCGAACCACAGAGTGTTTTAGGAGAGCATTGATTAAACCCACCTCAGGCTGAAAGCCGCAACGCTTTACCCTGCCGCCAAGGAGTGCTGCGAATGGGAAGGGTGCTTCGGCTTTTGAGGCTTGTCAAGACAATACAGGGCTTTGATGCATTGTGCCTTGGCTGAAACTAAGCTCTGGAGCCCTCTCCAGACCGCGGTTTTGCACCCAGGTATGCACTACTATGTTAACACATTCTAATTATTTGAAGACTCCTGACCTTTTGAGTCACTGATTTCCGAAATGCCTCGAGCACTTGTGGCACCTGAGAGTCTGAGAGGGACAGTTTTCTTTTTTCTTTAATGTTGGAGATAGCGCGTCAGCCGCGTCCATGAGATGCTAATTTGTCTAGTTTCTTGTGGCACTGAGGTACATCATGACAACGGCCATGCAGGGCAGCGTCACGGTTCTTTTCTGGTCTTTTGTGCCACTTGGATCCACTTGGCAGCATCATCAGCATATCATCGGCATCCGACGTTTTGAATCTCACCCAATGACTGGGGGCAGATCTGACCAAGGCTGCTGATGGTGGTGCAGACCTTGATCGCTTTCACATTGAACCAGGCTCTGGACAGCTACTTCAGGGACAAGACCAAACCTGTTCTTCAGCTGATTGGGTCAACCGGGTTTCAACCGACGGTCAACCATTGGGCCTGGATATATGATTGATATGTGATGATATGTGTGTAGGATTGTGCGGCCATTTGCATGGGCCAAAAGGGGAGAGGGTCCATCACCAGCTGAGCTAATCCATTAGCAGCTGGGCTGATACCTGTATTGTTTTGGGTGTTTTGAGCAGCCTATGGGCAAGCAATATCAGGATTATCAGGCAATTTACATCAATGCACTGTATTATTGGGAAAATATTAGCAAAACACAACAAGCAAAATGCTTCCACCATGCTGCACTCTTTGAGGTTCATCAACAACATCAAGTCTTCGAGTATTTTGGCACGGCCGGCAGGGCAATGTTTACCATGTTCGAACTCACCCTCGCGAAACTTGGTAGATTTGAGATCCAATGATTGTACCATGGTGAAGCACCCTTAGGACCATATAATTTATAATATATAGTACCTCACAGGACTTGAACGCTCTTGCTATTCATCACATGCTGTGCTTGACTCTGTCTCATTTCGGAGTGAGAAGGTCTTGCAAGACTTTATCCGAGGAATTGGCCGACAGCTGCTCGAATTCTTCAAGAAAATGTAACTGCCACTTGTCAACCAATTCGATATTGATCATTTAAACTTAATTTATATTATTAGTGTTTTTTTCAATGCATTTTTTCAACTCATTTGATGCGATTGGCATCGACTGGCGGGCTTGACTGACATGAATCGCTTTGCTGAAGGAGTACTATGCCATCTTTTCCGTAGCCTACAAGCTGATCATCGGCTTCGCTGCAGTTGGAATTATCAACGCCGTGTTTATGCAAGAAACCTTCAAGGTCGCAGCATCGGATGACAAGCTCATGATGCGACAGAAGGCTCGGGGCCCCAGGCTATACTAGGCATAGCCAGCATTGCTCTGTACCTTCGTAGAGTTACATGCTGTCCTTTGCGCCAGGAGAGGGACCGAATGCTGCACACGAAGAAGATGCGGACTCTCTTTGCAGCAGCGGATGAATCCGGGGATGGAGTCCTCGAAGCTTGGACGGAAGGTGAAACAAGATAGACATGGAGAGGAAATGCACGTGTGTTCCAAAGATGTGCCAAAATGCATCAAAATGCACAAAATGCATCAACATGCATCAAAATGCATCAAACATCAACCAAGATCTCCCAGAGACGCGATATCGAGAGAGAAATTCACGAAGATCATCAAGCAAATCTCTGAGTGCTGCTCATGTTGCTAAGATGTGCTCAGGATCAGGATGAGTTCAGGGAGATCATGACCAGCCCAGATATCAGGCCACTCCCATTTTGCTTTCCGTTTTGCCTTTGGACAGCATAAGCATCAGAAATCAGGATAAATCAGGACTGTCTCATACTTTCTATTCGAACTCTGACTTTGCACAGGATGTGGCTGGCTGCACAAGAGCTTCCAATTCGAGACCCCGATGTTCTCTGGAAGCTCTTGGATGATGGAGATGCCGAACTAACGGCTGACTCTTGATGTTCAATCTTGTTCCATGGATACATGGATATGTTTGCATGAGATGGCTTGTTCTCGAGTGTTTGGCATCTTGCATGGATGTTGTAGACACAATATGCAGGATATGCAGGTAGTATCATGAGGAATCCGGATCCTAAAGATCCTAAAGATCCCACTCTTCCCACTCTTCTCACTCTCAGGATGAACTGGTTCATGGCGTCGAACGGCTCAAGGGTACTGCCAAAGGCATAGACCTTGCAGCCTTCATCATGGAACACCGCACCCTGGTGACACTGGGCACATGGTGCATCAGGAATATCAGGATGTCCAGGTGAGAGTCCACACTTTCACGATTTATTGGCTTAGTGGAGTGCACGAATGTGCACGATGTAAGGAGGTGCACAGGAAGATGCTCCCAAGGTCGTAAGCTCATGGCAGTTGAAACATGTGTATATATATAAAATAATAATAATATATAATGATAATAATATTAATAATAATAACAATAGCAATAACAAAAATAATCATAATAGCAATAATAATATAATCTATATATTTCTTAATGCAAGGGATAAGGTGCTGAACATTAGACAAAGTCCAAACAACCCCCACTATGGTCACACGAGTGACGCTGTTGTTCTTTACCTCTTGGTTTTGATGTCCATCAAGACAAGCGAATTCGCAGCAGATAGGATATCTTCAGTCATGCGGGCCGACCCCCCACACACACACAAGTCACACACACAAATATGTATATATATACACATTGTGGCCGCTGTGCGGGTATCACATTTTTACCCGCAGACGAACATATACATACACATACACACACAAGTACATATACTGGCGCATACATAGATACATACATAGATACATAGATACATAGATACATAGATACATAGATACATACATACATACATACATACATACACATATATATATATATGTATGTATACATGCATATATACATACATACACACACACACATATATATATATGTATACATGCATATATACATATGAAAGTATATGTGTTTTAAAGCACTGACATCATGTTTTGAAAGTATATGGCTTAACCATACTAACGTCAAACTTGCTGTTCCTCAGGACAGGGAAGCTGGGTGGATACTCCAACATCATCCAACATCTCCAATGTGAAAACCTTTTTGAAAATAGGACAGATTGGAGCCATCAAATCAGGACGCTTCCCGGGGAATGCCCCCCGAGGTACATTTCAGCAGAAAATTTGCGAGAAACTTGGGATTGAGGAGGAAAACGGTGATGATGACGATGACTGAATGTACAGCCTGTGCTGTCTAAAGGCGCCACATCCAGTTACCCCACATATGCATCAGAAGAGTCAGAAGAGGGTTGCAGAGATGCATTGCTGGTCTAGTGGGATTAGTGGGTCTACTGGGTCTAGCGGGTCTAGTGGGTCTAGTGGGTCTAGTGGGTCTAGTGGGTCTAGTGGGTCTAGTGAGTCTAGTGCTTGAATTCGGACTGGTTTGACTGCCCCTTTGCCAGGCACACAGTGACAACTTTGATGAGCACTTGTGGCATGACATGCCGTGCTGCAGCGATGAGAAAACCATGCCCCGTCTTGCCCTGTCCTCGATGCCCTCACATTCTTGAACTATTTTGCACATGTTTGAACCGACCTTGTGCGATGAGACTCGATGAGTTGTGAGCAAAGAAGGGCCAAATATCTTGAAGTTTTTTGAGTGTCCTGGGTTACGTAGGCACCGATCGCTCAGCCATGATTACTTGAGATGGACTGCCGCAGCCATTGAATTCAAGCACGGCAGACCTGGAGGAGACTCAGAGGGCCCAGGCGGAACAGGCAGGAGTTGTAGGTAATTAAATGTGCAACATTTGCGTGCTGAATCTGAAGCTTGCATCATGCCATGCAGATTGAACGCTTAATCGTTCGATCATGTTTAGACATTTGTTCAGGTAACCTAGCAATGGATATCACATGCTCCTTGGCAGCTCTTGGATCTGTGTCCGACGGTACTTGATAAAGGACTTCTGGCAATAGCTGCTACAGTAAGGCTGGCTACGTTCTACATTGCAAGCCGAGCGTTCTTTGGTGATCAAGGCATTGCTTGATGCATGCTGGAGTTCTGACTGCCTGTGGGAAGATGTTGACATCAGATTTTCCCATCCTTCTGTTTCTATGCCTGCAGAATGCGAAGCAAGGCGTTGGAGGAGCATCATGATCAAATACTTGAGGAAGTCACTCAAAAGTGGCAGGCGCGGCAGGAGAGCAACTCCATGATGTTTCAACTGGGACCACATGCAAGACTATGGAATTTTCATACATGGGTTCCCTATGCAAAAAAAATCCCCACATTTCCATGAGCTTCACTCTTCCTGTTTGTCCCTTCCTCTTTTTCTCGTCCTGCTGGAAACCGTCACATTTCATCGAGCAGATCTTTGAATCTCTCAATCGATCCAGAGCTGATCCAGAGCCCAACCGACACGCGGCTCGGCTCAGGCTGCGCTCTGCAGGAATGGGATCCAGCCCCTCCCTGGGCAGGTTGAGCCGCAGAGCCCGCAGAGCAGCAGCCTCAACTGATGTGGCCTCACAGAGACAAAGCTTTGCAAGTTGCAATCCATTCAACTTAGGCGGGTGCAGCTCAGGCGAGTTTGAGGGCTTTGGTAAGGAGGAACATGCTCAGCCGATGATTTCCTTGTTGTGAAGCTACATCTCTACCTTGCCTGGCTTTGCATCATACGCTGCCAAACAAGCGAAGGAATGTGATTTAGATGGGCTTCGGGCTGCTGGTGTTGGCAATGACGATCCGCACCTGACAAGGATTGCTGGCTGAAGACATTTTCCATCATTTTCCCATGTTTTCACATCATTGATGTCAAAGTCATTGGCGATGCCACACTGGGCCACACTACATTTTGCTCATTCTTTACATCTCTTTGCCATCACGGTGTGCCCCCAGTCAGAAACCTGAGAGAACAGGACCATCTCCGGAGCCACCCAAGCAGAGAGCAATACCCTCCCAACCGAACCTCGACGGGCAAGAAATGGCCAAGGTGATGACACGATATGATTCAGATGACAAAAGCATACATTAAAATAGAAGAAATAGGAAGTGGTGCCACCTGATGACCTTCGGACATCTTAAAATCTGAGGACTCCAAAGGCACAAGCAGCCAGCTACTTCCAAAGGCTGCAACCAATGCAACCATGTCGCGCAGACGGCAATCTGTGCTCCTCACAGCGATCAACAGAGGCAGGGGAGGGATGGGGCCTGACAGCCTGCTGTCCACATCTTTCCACTTGGATCCGAGTGGATCCAGTGCAGGAGGAAGAGCCAGCGAAAAGCTGACAGAGGCCTTGAACCGACCAATCTGGCACCCAGGAGAGGGAAATTGAGAAACAGAGCTGGAAATTATTAATCACATTATATCACATTTAATCACCCAACACAGTTTGGCTAAACATAGCTAAACTATGCTAGACTGTTTATTGATGTTTACTGCAATTCTGTCATCACCTTTGATTCAAGGTACTTTTGGCCAGACCAAGGTGAAGTGATTATATACATAACTTGCTGCTGATAGCCGCACTGTCTTGAGGACACTTCACGGGAACTACGCAGTTTGACGTATTCTTTTGCATTGTCATTCTTTTGAACACCATTTTGAGCCTTGCTGCAAGTCTAGTCAGTTTAGTCACCACTGACTGAGAGAGATTAGATGAACCGCGCCGCGGGATTTCCTGAGCCAAGTCACTCAGAGGATGGGATTTGAGCTGCAGTACGACGGCCTTCAAAGAGGGTTTGACTTGACCTACCCTCATTTCGATGCACCTGCCAGCCTCTTGCTGCAAACTATGGCTAATTCAGTGTGGGACATGTGGGAGTGTTGTCAAGATACGGCACGGAGGTGTTTTTTTTTTAACAAGGCGGATATTGCCACACATTTGCCACAGCTTCGGTTTACGCCCAGGAGAGCTGTGGCCTCATGCAGAGACCATCTTTTTGGTGCTGGCAGCTACCTTAGATGATTGAGATGCCGAGAAATCCGAGAACCTCTAAGAATGAGAGGGTTGCCTCATTTTTCCTGATTTATCTGATTTTGGTGTGTGTTCGTGCATATGTGTGGATGGCATGTTGTGATTCAGGACTGGATCTTTGGTGTCGTTTATGTCATTGAAATTCTGGTGAGAATCGCCGGCACAAAATGGGCATTCTTTTGCGACCTTTCAAATTTGTTTGACGCTTCTCTGGTGTTGCTTTGGCTGTGCGAGCTCACCCTGAGCCACTATTTATATGTAGATGCGGCCCTCATCAGAAGCTCGGTTACAGTTGAAGGCTTCACAACCATGGCATCCCAGTATCATGTCCTGTGTGTTTCAACTCCATGCCCTGACCATCCCTGACCAACTCACTTACATTTCAGGGGAGTATTTCCTCCAAAGAGGGCGAACCTTTAGGTGTTCTCTGATAGCTGGAGAAATGAAAGGCTTCCTTGCAGGACTGAACTCCTTTTCTTGCTGGTGCTTAAAGGCTTGGCCTGAGATTTGCCCTGCACCGCAAGGCGACAGTTGGACCATGTTGGACCCTACAAGCATGGTTTGGATACATTCACGGACAGGTCAGGCGTCAAGCTATTTTGGCATTGAATATCATTGAAGATCCCATCAAGTGAGTGTATAGTGAGTGTTAAGACAAGACATCTTCATACATCTTCAACATATGTTGATATGGGGGCCGTGCTAAAACCCACAACTGTTTTTAATTCTACGAGCGCACCATTCTTTTCAAATTCCGCATATCGCTTCAGTCGCGAAAGGTCGCGAGTGCCCGGCGACATGTTTTGCGAAAGCTGCATGCATACTGTTCGTCTAGGTTTCTACTCAGACGAAAACCAAAACCAAATTTACTGTAGATTTCCAACATCTTCTGAGCCAGGGTGGCAGAGAAATCGCCAATCGCGCACCGCATATGAAACAGACCCCAATAATCTCTCCACTGCGTTTCTCCAACGACCATTCACCGAGGGGGGCTGCGCAGTAGCTTCGACCTTGTTCACTGTTCCATTGACCCTACGATCTCCCAGAGCGCAAGTTAAGGAACTCTGAGGCTTGCAAGAGTCCTTCGGCTGTTGAGACTTATAAGGACGATTCATGGATTTGATGCCCTGCACCTCGACAAAGTATGGATGCTAATTGCAATGCTGATGTCATAGCTGGCAATCTTCGTCTGACTTCATCCCGTTTTGCATGTTTTTGCGCAGTGAAGCTGCAGGTATATCATGACAACTGCTATGTCTGGAAGCTTGGTGGTGCTGTTCTGGTCGTTTGTGCAGCTCAGCTTGGAGTGAGTAGAGTCTCGAGCGCTATGTTGGGCTGAGACTCCTGCAGTGAGATTCTTAGTGCCATAGTCTCAAAATGCACCATGAATCTCAACATCCCAGGCTCCTACTCGTGGTTCAAACTACAATCGCTCTGTCGCTAACCCAAATTCTAGCCGGCTTCTTCAAGAATACGGACGTGCCTGCGCCTTGCCTCACCATTCATGCTTTACGCGGCATCACTGGGCTGAGTGTCAATACACAGCACCCTTCCTTTTTAGTAAGCTTGCTGTATCTTCCTGTCATTTTTAATGCAGGGACCTGGTGCCCTTCCAGTGCAAAATGGTAAAGCCAACCTTGCCCACACCTTTGCCCTTGCGCTTGCCTCATGTGCCCGTCACGGTTTTGCAGGCCCAATAGAGCATTGTTCTTGAATTTTAGATAATGCATGACTATTTATTAAGGACACTAGAGGGACACGCCCCTGATTCATGGTATATATTTTGTCGGTGCTTCGGTTACATAAAACAAGGGGCCCATTCCAATCTGAACACATTTATTTTCTGTTGGAGTATTAGGCACACCCACACACAAAGGACGTTTCCAACATGTAAACGTGAACATTGGAAAAACATGTGCAAAATTGGGGTCATCTTTGATGGGTCGAGATTTCCTTTCCACATTGTGAAAGTTGGATGGTTCAGACAGCTTTTCCCGCACAGAATGGTGAAACGGATTGATGGATGCCTGGGCCCTGGCTCTTGGAGCTTTCAGACACCTTTGTGGGGGACCTTCTGACTTGTAGAATAAACAACAATTTTTCCCTCCTGTCGCTAAAGATGCTTAAAGCCAATAATAAACACACATGACAGCAACAACACAACTGAAAGAACAGAAACACATGGACACAAAAAATATATGAAATAAACGCAAAAATCACCTGGCTACTAGGGAGCAGAAAGCAACATTATCTAATAAGTAAAAGGCAACATCACATTGACTACATAAACAAAAAACTGGCATCAGCCTCCATTTTTTTTGTATCTTGGTCGGCTGCACCTGGACATAATCCAACCAAGGACCAAGGAGGATCATTTTTGCGCAGATTGTATTTTTATGGGCACAGTAGCGGTTCCCTTGTTTTATCACCCCAATGGAATCCACAGTTTTCCTTCGACATCTATGATTTATGGCATCAAATGAGGTAGCCCAGAGACTTGAAGTCTTTGAGTACTTCGGCACAGCTTCCAGATCTATGTTTACTATGTTTGAGCTTACTCTAGCGATGCTTGGCAGCATGCATTTGTAGGCATGTGACGGCATGCGATTGTAAGTGTATTTGGCCAATCACAGTAACTCCGTACTGGCCTGGTGGTGCACTGGTCACATTTGGTCACACATGTCACACTTGCAGGAATTGGACGATTGTGGGCCGCAGCCTCTCAGAGAATGTTTCTAAAGCTCGGCATAAAGTTATTCGCACGCTCGCCTGTCACACGCTATAGGTGCAGATATGTAACTGTCATCTCAGGAATACTTCGCCATTTTCAATGTCGGGTACAAGCTGGTGATTGGCTTTGCAGCTGTTGGAATCATCAACGCGGTGTTTATTCAAGAGACCTTCAAAGTGGCTTCATCAGATGACACTGTCATGATGCGCCAGAAGGCACTTTTGGATGCTTTTGGGGCATTGAATAGGAACACGATCCGATTTCCAGGCGCACTGGTCATTGGGCCATGGCCAGTTGATCTGCCAGGAGAGAGACCGTCGCCTGCACACGAAGAAGATGAAGACCCTATTTGAGGCAGCAGATGAGTCGGGCGACGGCGTCATCGCCCCCTGGCAGGAAAAAACACGTGGGCTCATCCCGTCTCGGAGCTGCAGACTCCACCAGTCCACATCATCCGATCAGTGTGATTGCAAAATATTGCAAATGTATGCAAATGTATGCAAATGTATTGTGACGAGCATGTGGGTCCGCATGCACAAACTCAAGACCGAACGTATGTCGCATGTGTCCATCACACTATCGTACAAATTCAACAGAGTTGTCAGATCTGTGAGTCACATGCAAAGGAAGCGCGCTACTTGCAACAAAAATGCAAGTTCAAAAAACTCTCTGGCTTTCGCGGTGTCCCGAATCCTTCATGTTTTTCGCACCTTCTTAGCTTCAGATTGACCGATTGACCTGTATGTTGATATATTGTCCCATGCCGAATCTGCTGTGCACATGTTCGTGATCACTTGATATCTCTTGGATCATTTATGTGAATCCAGCACAAGTATATAATCGGAAGGGACGAAAAAGAATCAGTTCTCAGAGCACACGGGGAACAATGGGAACATGAAGCTTGCGAGAGAGATTCAAACAAAATACAAAACATATTAAAGTGCTACGGTCCCATGATTAGCATATATTACAGTAGCATATTTAGCATATTTTGTGCAACGCATCAGTGCACAGTAATTCCTGAGTGGAAATGCGGCTTCATGTGCCGCAGGTCCAAATGTAGTGTGAAGACAGGAATCCAGCGCTGAGCGCCGTGCGAGATGGTATCTCAATACCACTTGTGCTGCTAGGACCCAGTATATACACCGATGTAAAATGCAATGGGGACTGACATGTCATGCACCACATAGGTTGGTTTAGTTTAGTTCAGTTACAGGTCCTACAAATCTGTTACCGGAATGAGGGAGTGATGCTAAACGCGGATTTGAACCATAGGCATTGACATGTATGGAAGCACCAACTCTGTGACTGCGGTCTCTTTGAGCGTGCTTATGGTGCACTGTGTGCGCCGTGCATGTTTTGATCAGCCAGTTCGATGGAGTGAGTCTTACGTGATGTGCTGTGATGCAGTGAGATTCTCAGGATACGGATCGTGGAGGGAATTTCTGACAAGCGGCACATACTTGCGCACACACACAACATGTGTATAATATGATTATGCACTTGTACATGCATAGGTGTTCGCAAAGGTGCCAAGTCAGCAGTCGGAGAGTCCAATCGGACACCAACCAAGATTGACCTTTGTGTCCGAGGATATGGAAGAGTTCAGACGGATTTTTGATCTGCCAGAGATTCGGACCCTGCAGTGCAGCTTCCTTTTGCTGTCCATGCTTGGGCTTGTCTGCACGTTTTGCTTCGCAATGCAGGTTTCCAGTCTTGCAGACTTGCATTTGCGCCACGGAATGTACATATGACAATATATAACATAATATAATATATAATATAAATACACGTACAAATATCAATATAAGCATAAATATAAATAAACAAATAAAGTAATAGTAATATATAGGCGATAAATATTTTCAATAAATGCACGAATGAATAAATAAATAAATAAATGTACACACACACATATATATATATACATATACATAATGTGTGTGTGTGTGCGCGCTAGGCCCCCCAAAAACCCTACCTTTTGCCACCTTGTAGCCAGTAACTTGCATTTAAAACATGCTGCATTCCTTAAATAAGAAAGAAAAAACATGGTGCCGGGCATCTCCGAGGCTCGCGACTGTCATCACTTTTCAACAGTTTTATGCGGGGGCATCATCATAATCATCATAATGACCATCATCATCACCATCATCACCATCATCACCATCAATTCCATCTTCTTGATCGTCCTGGAGGTGGCAGCAGATTGGAGCGCGTTTTTTTTTTCAAGCGTAGCATGACATATGTGTGGAAGTGGCAGGCAGAGAACCTGGAAGCGCAAGAGAACCTAGAGTAGCATAGCATGGCGCGTGTGTGGAAGTGCAAGAGAACCTACAGTAGCGTAGATTGGCGAAGGTGTGGAAGCGCAAGAGAACCTAGAGTAGCATAGCATGGCGCGTGTGTGGAAGTGCAAGAGAACCTACAGTAGCGTAGATTGGCGAAGGTGTGGAAGCGCAAGAGAACCTAGAGTAGCATAGCATGGCGTGTGTGTGGAAGTGCAAGAGAACCTACAGTAGCGTAGATTGGCGAAGGTGTGGAAGCGCAAGAGAACCTACAGTAGAGTAGCACATGAATGAAGTGCAAGAGAGTGTACAGTCCTGCAGCATCACGTATGTGTGGACGTGCCAATCACCAAAAACATGTGTTAAAGGAACATGCTGCTTACATGTTACAATCTGCCTTGAAGAGAAGAGATTCCCTAAAAAAGAAATAATGTTCTTGCAAGAAAACTATAATTTGTGGACAGGTGCAGTACATCCTTTAATGAGGCTCAACCTTCCTCATTTTTCTTGTATTTTTTTGTTGAAAGATTCCACTTCTTCAAAATAATTGCCATGAAGACAAGGTCTTCCCTCAAGTAAGAAGCAGTATTCTTGCAGAAACATACCATATGTGGAAAGATGAAGTTCAGCCTCCCTCGCGTCCCTCCCATTTTTCTGTATGCCATTTGTCTTTAAGGAACAACTTCACTTCTTCAAAACAATGTTGCGTGTTTAGTTTTGCTCAGATGTTTCATTCATATGGAAGGGCATATTGCACACATACAACGATGACCTGTCTCTTTCAACAAATACTACATACACCGAAGGGTTCTACTTCATAGTAATGCTTTTCTTATATTATTGCATGGTTTTCAATCAAATAGTTCACTCCCTTGTGAAGGAACCTTTACACATACTTGCACGAAGACTTTCTTTGAGGAATGCAATAATCATCGGAATACTACACCTACACCCTCTATTTTTCCAGAAATGTGTTACTATTCTTCAGGAAATATTGCAAAAAGTGATGCTATACCGTACGTTTCCACACTTCAGAATGCAGAGTACTGCATCCATTCAGGGATTTTTTGAAACTCAAACTTTATCGAAATACTACCTGCATCTGTCGAGGCATTCTATGCCAAAGCAATGTTGCATTTTCTTGAAGGAATGCCCCACCATGTTTAAGGAATGCATCACTCTTTTCAATGGACCATTACAAAAAAGTAATGCTACGCTACAACTCGTTTCTAAATCTACCACTTTTTTTTTTGAAAGAATACTGCGTAGACTAAGAGAGCTTTCTTATCAAAGTAATTTTGTGCTCTTTCAAGTCACTTTTCTTCACAAGGGGCACTGTTATATAATCTCGCACAGGTAGCATTTGTGAGGTTTCTGTTTAAACAAAGATGGATCACATTTTTTCGTTTCAAGTATGCATTATCACTATCAAAATGAGTGCATACTGACTTTAGAAAGCATAATGTAGCCGTACTTGTGCCACATGTGCAGCATTTTCTTTCAATCATCCGCTTGTTTTCCAACAAATAGAGTGTTACTTAGAGAAAAACATGCATGTTCTTCAAAGTAATGGCTAAACTTTTGAAGATACAGTAGTCTTATTTTCTTTGAAGACATACTGCATTTGATTGAAAGATGCCTTGTATGTTGCAGGGACTTTTTGTGCAACGTGTTTCTTCCTTCCAGAAGTATTGTGCCACGTACGTTATGAAATGGGTTTGTGCTCATGTTTTGAATTAAACAATGCATACTTACATGTTGGAAACATATTTTCAAGAAACGTGACTTTCTGCAAAGGAATGCTACCTATTGCAAGGAATACTCTTTTTGCTGAAGGAGTGCCACACCCTTTGAATGAAAGTGTTTGTTTGTAAAGCCTGCTCTTGTCAAGTAGAATTGTTTCTTCAAGAGGAAGATGCATGTTTGATCGTTTTTTGTAGTCATTTACAGTGTTCTCACTGCCTTTTGCAGGTTTGGGGAAAAGAGCGAAAGTTGAGACTTTTTCATGTCGGTTGAATCACTCGTCCCTACTGAAGGGAAAAGTTGCAGAGAGGTGGAGGCACTAGGAGGTACATAAATTATACTTAAGACATCTTAAGACATAGTTTGGAAGGGGTAAGAACTAATAGGACCTCCTAAGACCTCTTAATGCCAGAACCTTCATATCTCACAAGTTTGTCTACATCTATGGTACTCCGAAGTATATGTGTATATATGTATATTGAATAGATACATACATACAATTACATACATAAATATTATACATATATGTATATGTATAAAATTTACATACATACTGTATATATGTATATGTGGTACATACCCCTCTTGAAACTACTGCTAAAATTTCTTCAAAATAGGCTTCGACATTATTCCCCAACATATTGCAAAAAATACCGTAAATACCAGTAAATGTAGTCAAAAGGTAGTTTTTTTTTGGGGGGGGGTACCATGTATATATATATATATGTATGTATATATATATATATATTATACACAGACCGTACATTTCAAGCTTGCATTTGCATGCATTTGTCACCTTCACAGATCTGCACAGTTGCACAAGTGTCAGGACTTGGCTTGCAGCGCAAGATCTGCAAGTCACAGATCCGGATGTGTTGTTTAAGCTCTTGGATGACGGGGATAAGCAATTGACAGCTGAAGCTCTTTCGCAGGGCCATGTAGTGCCATTGTGAGATTTGTGAGTGTCTTGTGCTTCCTTGTGCTTCGGAAAGTGGTGAGGTGACAGCTCCCATGCCAGCTGCTTGTCACTCAGCTTGCAGCTCAGGAAGAGTTGGTTCGGGGAGTGGATCGGCTGAAGGGAAACGCCAAGAGTGTCGACCTGGAAGCCTTCATCATGGAGCAACGTTCCTTCGTTGCATCACGTCGCATCACTGCAACAGCATGAGCAATTTGGATCAATTTGGTGAATTTAGATTGATTTAGTCTTTAATGTTCTTTAATCTTGATGGGCTTCCCACGTTTCGAAGTGTCACGCACAAACATTGGGGCACCGGAAGGGCAACAGGGTCTTGGAGATTCTTGGAGTCTTGCAACGGGCCAAGGTGCTTTTGTATCGCAAGTCTGTGCAGGACTTGGTCTTCCGGCTGTCTCACGCATTTCTTTAGTCGGCCAGAATTGATCTCTCTGGCGAGTGCAGAGCCACAAGGCGAGTATGGCGAGTGCTCACTGCACCATTTCCACTGCATGGGCGTTTCGACCATGCTCAGCCCTTTTAAAGGATTTTTTCGGTGCTTGACAAGCTGATCGCAGCACACTGAGTTTCGACTCAATAGGAGTGTTGGGTCCTGTGGCACAACCTTGAGATGACAGTCAAATGAAAGATGTTGAAGATGTCAAGAATGCTGCTTGATCCGAAGAATGATCAGCTTGCCAAAAAAGCACTGGACACTTTTAAAGAGGTCAGGAAGGCCAGGCCCAAATCCTGCAAGTGCTTCCAAGAAGTGCTTGCACTTGCTCGTATGCATCCGAATTTGCGGTATTTTCAGCTGTGTAGCCATTGCCTTCAGTGGTTGATGAAGTAAACAAGTGGTAGCATGTAGAATGTAGCGCAATGTAGTGAAAAGCATCAGGCTTGTTGTCATCTAGTATTGATGAGTTGTCTCTTGGCACGAAGTACACAACTGCTACTATGGCACACTTGCCTGCATAGATCTACAAAAGTATTCTGCGACTTCAGTAGGCAGGTATGGCTGGGTGGTGAATGGGAGGAAGAGTCAGGAGTTCTTGCTTGTTGTTGGAGACAGCTGTGGAGGTCTTGAACGTCAAGCTAAAATGGCATCGAATATGCTGGCATTCTTTCAATCAGCTGCACAACCCTTTGGTTCTAGCAAAACTGTTTGGTTGACTGCTTCTCTAAAGCTTGTTGAAGTGGCTTGGAGTTCGAGAGAGGGTGCAGCAAGTTGGTGGGCTTGATGCGACGTTTGCAGCTTGAGTTGATGAGGGGAACGGGGCAGATTCTGTCCCAATTGAAGTGTGAATCTAAAATCACAACCACTGCAAGAATTAAGATAGCCACCGCCAAAAGGGGGCAAAGCAGATTATCAAATCAACCAAATCAGCAGCAGCATACATCATTTCATCACATGCACTCTAATATGTTCTATTGACTCTATTAGACTGCTTCAAGCGCCAATGCGCACTGCCAGCACTGCATGTTGGCCAGCCTCCGACGAAGAATTGCTGGTCCCAAAGGATGACTGCTCTGATGACCTGTCCTTCGACCGATCTAATCTAAGCCTGACACATCTCTAGACGACTCTGGAGGGACCCTGGACCTAGCTGTGTGGCACCAACTCACCTAATTCACCTAGGCTCCGGGTTGCTTTCTGATTGGTCCTCCATGTCTCTCCTCACCTTTTCAACCCTTTTCATATACTGTATCATTTGTAATTAGTCGCACATGTTGCACTTTGCTGCGGCTGAGGCTTCAAACCAAGATGTATGAGTGGTTGCCTGATTGGTTTAGGACAGGGGATAGCTTCTTTGGCGTCGACAAGGCAGTGAAAATCAGGCTTAACGATGAAAAGCAGAAGGGGCAAGGCGTCGATGCAAAACTGAAGCAGTTGCAGGACAGCTGACAACGGGCATTCACCTCCAATCACCACCACTCAGAATGTTGACCAAACATGTGCAACACTGTGCAGCAATGGTCTATGATTTTTGCAAAACTTGACGGGAATGTCCTGGGTGGGTCGGGGGGTCGCATGTACACGCGAATTAAAAATCGCATGTACACGCGAACGACTTTGGGGAGAAAATCGCAGGCAAGATCGCAACTACATGCGAATAGGCAATGTCTCTTTTTTCCTTGCAAAAACCAATGAAAATAGAGACTTGTGGTATATGTGACGTTTCAATCTGCAACCATGCGTGGAAGTTGGTGGAAGCAGGCTATTTGTGCGGCCAAGATCGCAACTACACGCGAATAGGAAACGTCTTTAATGTAAGTTATCTCTCTATCTATGTATCTATCTATCTATCTATCTGGCTAGCTAGCTATCTATCTCTCCATCTATCTCTCTATCTATCTATCATCTATCCCTCTATCTATCTATCTGTCTATCTATCTGTCTATCTATCTGTCTATCTATCTATCTATCTATCTATCAGTTGAATGGAGACAATGGTTTAGTGGAACGCGGGGGGGGTAAAGTTGAAATAAAGAAGTAGAATGGAGACAATGGTTTGGTGGAACGCAGGGGGGGGAAGTTTAAATAAAGAAGTAGAATGGAGACAATGGTTTAGTGGAATGCAGGGGGGGTAAAGTTTAAATAAAGAAGTAGAATGGAGACAATGGTTTAGTGGAATGCAGGGGGGGGAAGTTTAAATAAAGAAGTAGAATGGAGACCATGGTTTAGTGAAACGCAGGGGTGGTAAAGTTTAAATAAAGAAGTAGAATGGAGACAATGGTTTGGTAGAACGGTTTGGAGTCTAAGAGTAGTTGTGTGTACATGTGATCGTCATCTGCGTGCGCAGATGAACTCGCTTGTGTGTACATGTGATCGTGGGCGCGCTGGTGTGTACATGTGATTTTCATCTGCGTGCGCAGGTGATCGTAAGGCTGAAAAGGGTCCTCTGTGTGTACATGTGATCTTGTTTTGCGTGCGCGGATGATCCCTTGACCTCCTGGCTGACCGACTGTGCCAATCAATCTTCAAAATCAGCTAGGGGTCATGAGGTCGTACTGCAATGGTGTGCCCGGCTAAAGCTTGTCTAATAGGTGTTAGTAGCTACAATCATGACTGTAATAATTGATTATATATAATATATTACAATATACTATAATTATATATGTGTTGAACGTGCCATTCTCATCAGCCATGCTTGCTGCAAATGGCCTTCGCAACCCAGCCTGTAGTGGAGCTTTTTGTGGTGGATTGCATGCTGGAACTAACTACCTGTCATACTACTAATTTGATTTAATTTGTACTTGCAGGAAGTGCAATTTTTTGAAACTGTCCAGCGCAGGTCATTTCAGACGATAATTAGATATAATAGCACAGGGGTTCCCAACTGCTTACATGCAAGGTGTCAATCCATGAGCCAGTTCTTTTTAAATGTGTACCATTCTGTACCAGTGTATTGTCAGGGCACAGTTTTTGCAGTTGTGGCGTCTTCTGATATCTTCTGATAGCGCGTCTCGAATCCTTGGAGAAAGTGTGCATTAACTTTACAAGGTTTACATCACAGAGGCAGCCCAATTGTTTGCATGTGGCGGTGTGGCTGAAGATACAGGAAGAGTTGGAATGTTCACCAAGAAGTGGCTTTGCGTCCATCGGTATTTTGAACAATGGATATCGCAGCGAAAGAAGTGATGGAAGTGGACGCAGATCAAGAGCCTTGTGACTCGAATGCACTGCTGGGGGGGACTGTCACGAGTTACAGCCTTAACTTGTATAGTGTCTAGCCTCCAGTACCATGTTGTGTCTCTGCACAGGTTCTTCTGAACTGCCAGGTTGTGTGACTCCGCATCCATATGGATCAATAACACATCAGGACGTTCCTTTTTCCTAATCGTCAAGCAATGGCTTGCAGATTTGCTACGTGAGAGCTGTGGAGAAAAGTATTTCCGCGTTGTGGTGCCCTTGCGTGGTGCCATTTGATCTTTGACAGTCAATCGTGACTGTACTAGCCTTGTGAGAAGGCTGTGGTTCCTTAGCAGCAGCTTAGGCTTGTCGCTATCCGAGCCACCACCCCTATCAACATTGGTAGGCGGAGCCTCGTGAAGGGGCTTCCTAATTCAAATCAACTATGGGCTCAATGCGTGAAGACAAGGACAAGAACCAGGTTCCCACGTGGAATGGAGAGCAAGCTCTATGGCCAGACTATGTACGCCAATGTCGGCTAGCCTATGAGACATGTGAGAAGAGGAAGAGAAAACTCTTAGGACTAAAGCTAGCAATGAGACTGACTTTGAACGCTTGGGAAGTGACTTACAATATCGATCATGATCGCCTTCGAAAGTCCAACGGTGTCAAGTACCTACACAATCAATCACTTGCAAGAGCGCTTGGGTAGGACCTCCATGCCGGACAGTGGCCAAAAGCTTGAAGAGTTGTCCATCAAGTTGCGCCGTTATCCAGGAGAAGCCTTGTCAACATGGGCATCAAGAGTGATGGAGGCCTACAAGAATGTGCAAAGAGCTTTGGCACGAGTGAAGAAGGATACCAGACAAGATGTTGAGACACCCAAGTCGAAAGATGTCGAAAGCTAGGTCAATGGAAGAAGATACCTCACCTCAGCGTAGAACACACTGTGAACCTCAAGGTGAACCTCCCTCACCCCAAGCCGGTCGTGAACCTTCAGAGGGGTAGCCGGGCCCTGGGGAACAAGGAGGTTCTCGGGTGCCGCAAGCAGATCCTGTTGCAGAAGGTCAGGAGAACGATTGGTGGCACCAAGGCCAATGGTACCGATGGAGAAGTTGGCATGGCAGGTCATGGAGCCGACGTGATGAAGATGAGTCTTCAGAGGAAGAAGAGCCCGACACTTTGACGTGGGCAGGTTTGGAAAGTGCTGATCAGGAGGTCCTCCCTTCTGAGATCTTAGGGTGGGTTCTCCTGCGCCGAGCAGGACTGTCGGCCGGAGCCCGTTTGACGGTTCTGGCAGCGGCCCACAACTCACTGCCCTTCGAAGATGTGGAAAAAGCCGTGCGTGACCAACAGGAAGAGCTTCTGATGACCGAATGGTACAACCAACGCAACTCACCACATCACAAGAGGACGTATTGGCCAGAAGAAGATGATCAGCGGTCCCTGGCGATGGACCATGCCATAGATGATGAGCAGATCACTCCGGAAGTCATTCACTGGGTTGCCCGTCCTCCAATGGAGCAGGCCTTTGCTCATGACTATGAGGAAGAAGAGGAGACCTACGATGGGATCTATGAATGGGATGAATGGGCATACTGGCCAGATGATGGCGAGTGGCATGCATCTTTAGATGATGGGAGCTACGTCGCATACTCCGAGATGAAGCCGTGGCTTGAGATTGCAAATGTCATGGCGGTGGATGCTGAGCTTGACAGGGAGCTCTATGAGACCTACAACAACTTTGAGAACAAGGTGCGTACGTTCAGAGAGGCCAGATGGGCTATGCACCAAAAAGGGAAGAATCGGGGTTTCTTCAAACCTAAAGGAAAAGGATGGAAAAGGTAAAGGGAAGAGCCAGAAGGGTTTTAAAGGGAATAGCTCTGTAGTAGGCTCTCCCCCAAAGAATCCCATCTTCTTTAGTAAAGGGTCTAGTAAAGCTTCAGCAGCCTCGAGTGTCAGTCCAGTCACCAAGCCCGGATACAGCGGGTGTCTCATCTGTGGAGATCTACAACACGACTTCCGCACTTGTCCCAAGCGGAGTCAAGGAAGCTTTCCGGGACAGAAGGGGCATGGCAAGATGATTGGTTTGGTTGAAGATTGGTCAGCCGGATGCATGGGCGGCAGCGAGTACGGAGCCCCAAGCGATGCCTACTCGTCCATCAACGACCTGGGTGCTCGTGACAATCTCCTCCTCGAAGGAGCCCGTGGTGACATCTACATGACTGAAGATGCCGAGGGTGACAAGTCCGAGACGGAGGGTGAAGATGTGACCTTGAAGATTTTCGCAGCAGAAGAAGCTCTATCAAGTGATCTTTCGCCAGCGCGAAGTCTGCAGTATGCTGTGGTAGATACGGGTGCAACCGAAACCGTAGGCCCACTGGATGCATTGGATGCCGTGATGGCACAGCGAGGAAAGGTATTCGGACAAGAACAGGTCAAGGTGGACACTCAGAAGCAGAAGCAGTTCAAGTTTGGAAGCGCCAGGCCCACTGTGCTGAATCCTAGTGTCCATTCCTGCCTCAGAAAATAGGGAATCAGCCCACTGCTCTTGGAGTGTATGCTCTTGATGTGCCTAATGTAGCTATCTTAATAGGGATGAAGATGTTGCGACGGTTGGGGGCAAATATTGACACGGTCTGTGATACTATAGAGTTTTGATGAGTTTTGTAGAGTTTTTCCAGGTATACATGTTCCTTTGTTGCGGGGTCCAGAGGGACATTTGTTGTTGAACTTGTGTCAAGATTGGATGCCACTGCAGGCATCAACCGTGAGTGGAACTTGGAATCCAATCTTACTGTGGACATGCATGAGCAGCAAAAAGGAAATAGCAGCGTGTGTGAGGGGTATTCCATGGTAGGTTCCAAGCGAAGTGATGAAATTGATCAGGCGAGGATAGGTCGTAAGACTGAGGTTGGCAATCAGGAAAAGACAGGCCAGGTTGACGATCAGGGTGCAGCTCTTAGTGTGAAAAGTCCAGAACCCGTTCCTCAGCCTGGAACCCTAGCTCAAGCGCTGGAACCTAAGTGTGACCGGTCAGAACCCCAGACACCAGTGTCTCCAGATGGCGACCGTCTCGGAGATCAAGGGCACCGGCAAGGGGAGCACAAAGTCCAAGAAGGAGAAGGGCGGGATTGGGACCGCGAGGAGGGACCCAATCCAGCCGACTGCAGGACAGTCGGACCACCATGCAGTCATGTTCCGATGCCCATTGGACGAGGAAGCAAGTCGGGATCCAACGGGTTTGCTCGTTGGATTGTGTGCAGCAGGTGCCAGTTGCGGCTGTCCTACGTCCCAGCAGTGGGGGCGAAAGGGACGAGCCGAAGCCCAGGCCGTCTCCCAGCAGATATCGTCACTGCACTCGAGCTGGGAGTGGACGATCTGTCCACCCAAGGGATCGCCTTAGAAGCAGCCGAGAAGTCGTTGATGAAGCGTTTGGAGGCAGCGCAGACGGAGAAGAAAGACCACCGCCTGAAACTCAAGACCAAGAAAGAGGAGATCACTCCGAAGGAGGAGGACGAGAAGATGAAGACACACCGGGCAGAAAAGCGACGAAGCGCGAGAACGAAGATGGGAGCCAGTGGTGCCGGACGTGACTCAGGGCCAGAGCTACTTGCTTATAGCAGTACTTGGATGGCCTCACCGCTGGGTCCAGTGAGGTGGAACAAGATCAACGTACTAAAGAACGTGAAGAGGACAGTGTTGTGCCCAGCATTTCGCAGCAAAATTTTGATTGAGCAGTCTTGGAACGCCTCGCTGGATGAAGTGGTTGCCGCCATGAATGATTTCCCATCTTTTCATTTGGACCACATGGAAGTATGCTGTGGGCAGAGCCGTCTCACAGCGTGCATTCAACAGATGGGAGGAAAGGCAGAAAGAATATGAAAGAATCGGATTGCACAATAACATGGACCTCACAACTTCCTTGGGGTTGAAGCGTGCTAGGGATTTCTGCGATGTCACTGCTCCTAGGTACCTTCATCTTTCTCCGGCCTGTGGACCCACTAGTCCTCTCCAAGAGTTGAACATGCGTACGGAAGAACAAAGGGAGAAACTTAGACAGAAACAAAAGTATGCCAGGAAAATGTCCAAGGCATGTCTTGAACTTGCTGAGGACCAGCTGATGAGAGGAGGACATGTGACATGGGAGTGGCCAAGAAGAAACAAGGCATGGAAATACAAGGAGGTACAAAGGTTTTTCTACAATTTAAGAAACGAGGAAAGGTGTTTGAGGCCTGTTTGGATGGATGTCAAGTGGGAGTAATTGCACCGGGCAATGGGCTGCCGATGATCGAGGAAACCATGGACAATCATGTCAACAGATCCACATGTGGCCCACTGTTTGGATTTGAGATGCGACGGAGGGCACCCACACACTGAGTGCATAGGACATGGTCGCGCTGTATCATCTGCGTTGTATCCGCCGCGTATGTGTAAAATCATCAGCAGGCACATTGCACATCTGGAGCGCACAAGCCCCTTCATACTTGACACATGGGGATAGCCACACCACACCAGCAGTAGAAACGAATGCAAATGAGAAGGAGAGGCAGGATGCTAGGAAAACAACAGGAGTGGAAGGAGTGCAGGAGGCAGGAGAGGAGCCAAGAAACGAAACAATTTCTATGGAAGAATTGAAAGGAATCAAGGCAGCAATCACCAAGCTTCATCTTCGGTCAGGACATCCCACAAACACCGCGTTAGCGAACTGTTTGAGGGCGAGAGGCGTACCTAAACATGTTGTTCAACTTGCGTTAAAATACAAGTGCTACAGCTGCTCCAGTTGTCAGGAAGTGCGACTGCCCACACCACATGCTAAGGTAAGTATGCATAAGAGCAACACACAGTGGGACACCTTGCAGTTGGATATAGGTCAACTCCATGTTGGAAACACTGTCATTCATTTTCTCGTGTTGCTTGATGAGGCATCTCATTTCGCCTCGGCCTGCGAGTTGTTTCGTCATAGTGCTGATGAATCCAGAAATGCCACTGCTTCCGAAATCATTCTTGCACTGGAAACACACTGGGTACAACACCGTGGTTTGCCAGGAGTTATGCGGACGGGCCCTGAAGGGAGTTTTAGGGGCTATAACTTGAATTTGTGGGCACAAGAAAGAGGGGTGGAGTTAGTTCACCCCTGGCGAAGATCATGGACAGACAGGAGATGTGGAAGCCATGATAGGAAAAATCAAGACTGACAGGAGGACATATCTTTGCGACTGGGACATGGACCGGTCTGTTGCACATGATACATGCTCACAACACACTTGACAGAGTTGGGGGACATGCTCCATGCCAATGGGCATACGGCAGGTTTCCAACCTTCGATGGTCGTCTGTTTGACTCAGGGCTCAATGTGCCGTAGCATTGCAGTGAAGGTGTGAAAAACTCAGAAATGCAGAAGAATTTGCAGGTCAGAGCCCATGCTGAGGAAATCTATCGTAAGTCTAGTGCTACCTCGGATCAATAGAGCCATGAATAGCAAGCCGACCAAAACGGTTGTTTACTTACCAGGAGACATGGTCTATTATCGTAGGTGCAAGACACCATCACAGCTTCCCTCACATAAGGATTTGGATGTCCCTAAGGTAGGTCTAGCCAGATGGTATGGTCCTGCAAGAGTTCTAGCGATTGAGACAAAGTCCGAAGAGGTGATGGGCATTCTTCGGCCAGGTCATGTGGTTTGGATCGTAGCTGGTGGGCGTTTGAAGCGATGCAGTCCTCATCAACTACGCCCTGCCAATGAGAGGGAACATCTGCTATCAGAAACGAGTGGCGATGTGACGGTGCCGTGGTCTTTTTCTAGTGTTTTGTCACAGGTCGACACTTTTGATGATTTGGCTTTCGGTGAAAGACATCCTCGGCAGAAACCAGAGGTAAGCCAGTTTTGCGCCTAGAACATCAAGAGTTGCTAGGAGCAGAAGTAGGGCACGATCGGTGCCACCGCCTGATGTTCATGTCAAGAGCGACTTGCCAGAATCCAATGTACAGAGTCTCACTGCACCGGAGTATGAGGAACCCCAAGATGTTCCAAAGCACTTCAAAACTCAAAAGCGCATTGTCAAGTGAAAGGCACAGAAGACCGCAACAAGAGGCCGAAGAGAGGCCCAAACAACAAAAGACCCATGGGAGAGCGGTACTCCCGAATCAAAAGACTATATACGTAGTTCTAGTACGGGCAAGAAGGCGCCCGAGAAGAATAAGTAGTCTAGATGCTCAAAGATTTCGCGATAGTCCCACTTCTTCCTCCGCTCCTCCTATCTCATCACCCGCGCATCGGCCAGCATCTGCGGCCCCCAGGGAACTGCGACCGCGCCGGGCAAGCCATGGAAGGGGTGAGTTGTATAAGCACCCTCTTTGTACCACGGCACAAAATCAGAGCATTGTGACACAGTCATGGACAAGACAATGGCTGAACTGTTGCATGCGGAAACGCAAGATGAGGTGGAGTCTCAGCCAGAGGATCCATGTACGGACAATACTGCATGCATTTTTGAACTGGATTTGCCAGAATCGCCAAAGGAAACGCGGAAGATGCAGAAAGATCCAGCCCAATGGGCAGTAAACAAGATCAAGCATGGATGCGAAGTGCGAATAGAAGATCTGTCCAATGGGAAGTTCAAAGAGGCAAAGAATGTAGAAGTGCAAAGCTGGATCAGAGACCAGGCATGTAGAGCAGCAACAGGCCATATTCCTAAAGGAAGAGTCATGAAAATGAGGTGGGTTCTGACATACAAAGACACTGGACGACCAAAAGGTCGGATCGTGGTCCTGGGCTACCAGGATCCTGATCTGGAGCATTTGACAAGGTCGAGTCAAGTCCAACAATGACAAGGCTGACCCGACAACTCCTGCTAACACATGCAGCAGTTCGACGATGGTCCGCCCTCAAGGACGATGTCAAGGGAGCCTTTCTGCAAGGACAGGGATCAGAAGAAAAGAGACAGGTGTATGCGTGGCCTGTGGAGGAGCTAGCTGAAGCCTTCAACATGCCAAAGGACCAACCAGTGCAACTGTTGAAAGCATGCTGTGGGCTTGTCAATGCCCCAGCGGAACGGTTCTGTTTGGCCATGAAGGAGGCAGGATTCACCCAATTGGTCACGGAACCCTGCATGTGGAGAGTCATGGAATGGTCTGAGGAAACGCAGTCCTATGAAGTGGTCTATGTGCAGCACATGTGGACGATTTCATCTTCGCAGGAGATGATAGAAGCGCAACATGGCGGCGGGCAGTCTCTCAAATCTATGACCGTTTTCTTTGGTCACCCTGGGAAGTGGACAGCTTCACCCATTGTGGAGTGAGAATCACACAAATGGGCAATGGAGGGTTTGTTTTAGACAATTCGGAATTCTGAGTGGCTTAGACCAAATTCCAGGGGATACAAAGTGGCAAGATGAAGAACAAGCTATTGAAGAAGAGAAAACACAGTTGAGAGGCCTTCTAGGAGGAGCCAAATGGCGTTCATACCAGACAGGACCACAGCATTCGGCCCGACTTGGTTTGCTTCATTCTGAGATAAGTCATCCAACGGTCAAGACCTTGAGATCAGCCAACAAACTATGCCGAGAAATGTATCAGCACCGGCAGACTTCAGTCAAGGTCCAGAACTTAGAGGTCAACGATCCTGCAGACATAGACTTCGTGGCATGCACAGGTGCGGCCCTAGGAAATCGCCCAAATGGTGAAAGCACTGGAGGTTACACCATAGCAGCTACTAGTGGACACATGTTGGAAGGAAAAGCCTCAAGGCTGAATTTTGTGTCATGGAAGTCAGGTAGACTACATCGCATAGCGCGAAGCAGTCTAGCAGCTGAAGTACAAGCCTTCTCGGAAGCAGAAGTAGAACTCATGTTTGTCAGACTCCAATGGTCAGAAATGCTTGGACATGAATATCCAACGATGAGTCCACAGGAATCTGTGATCAAGGTTCCGGGCACGCTGGTGGCTGATTCCCGATCACTCTACGACATAGTCATCAATGAAGGGCGAAATGAAATCCAGTGGTCTAGGATTGAGGGACAAGTACTCGGCCCTAGAAGTTCTCAGTATTCTGCAGCGTTTGAAGATGAGCAATACCACCGTGCGGTGGGTGCATAGTAATGCAAAGTTAGCAGATGCTGTAACGAAACCAATGGCAACAAGCTCTTTGATGAAAGCTCTAGGTGAGGGTGCGTGGATTTTGGTCGAAGACCCAACATTTACCAGCGCAAAGCGTCTGAAAGCCCAAGAAAGACAAACATGGCCTTACTGCTAAAGACTTTGGGGCATGTCACGAGTTACAGCCTTAACTTGTATAGTGTCTAGCCTCCAGTACCATGTTGTGTCTCTGCACAGGTTCTTCTGAACTGCCAGGTTGTGTGACTCCGCATCCATATGGATCAATAACCCTTTTGCCTAATTGTCAAGCAATGGCTTGCAGATTTGCTACGTGAGAGCGGTGTAGAAAAGATGAGAAAAGTATCTCCGCGTTGTGGTGCCTTTGCGTGGTGCCAGACAGTCAATCGTGACTGTACTAGCCTTGTGAGAAGGCTGTGGTTCCTTAGCAGCAGCTTAGGCTTTTCGCTATCCGAGCCGCCACCCCTATCAACAGAGACCTGTTGAATAGATTTAGATGATTTTGGCGTATTGATTTTGTCCTGTAGACAGAAGTCGTTTTTCTTGGCGGGGATGTCTCGATTGCCTACGGAATTGGCGCCTTCTTACCAAGAGGCAAGGCCCAGAACAATTACCGAGCGGAATGCGTCCCCCGTGTCAGGATACACGTTCTCTGTGTAGGTTTTGCCGAAAAACTGTTCCTTTGGACATCCTGGCGCTAAAACGTGATCAGATTCTACTGCACAATGAGGTGTAAAATCCTTGCTTTGAGTGTCAAAACGAATGGGGCA